TGGTCTAAAAAATGTTTTTGATAAGGAATTAATTTTCTGCAAATAATGTGCCATTTTTGAGTGTCTGTGTGACTGGTGGAGTAATCATGTAATAGTTCCTTATGAGTAGATTTTGTATTTAATTTTGTATATTGAAGTGGACATGTTAAGAGCAATTTGAAAGAAGAAATATAAAATATGACAAAAATACATTTTTGTGTTTATTTGATTCCTATTCAAGACACTTAAGATAAGATAAGAATAAAATAAGCATAACTATAGTGTTACTATAGGTGACTACTACGGTGGCTGAGAAGTGCAAAACACATTTACAATAAAAATTAAAAAATGTTGAAAAATTAAAAAACAAAATAACATTGTAAGATACACATTCACAATTAAAGAAACACATCCATCCATTTTGTGAACTGCTTATTCCCAAATCGGTGACATGAACAAATGAAGAAACAATATAGCATTTTAAGAAACAAATTAATTTTTTAGGAGACAAACATTTTTGAAAAAAATTGTTTCTTAAAATGTCATGTTTTTTTAATTTGTAAATGTGTTTTCTGAACTTTAAATGTGTATCCTAAAATTTCATTTAGCTTTTTTAAATCACAAGGTGTTTTTTTAATTGTAAATGTGTTTTGCACTTCTCAGCCACCGTAGACTACAGATTTGTTTGACATTTTTGTGTTTACTTGATTCCTATTCAAGACACTTAGGATAAGATAAGAATAACTATAGTGTTACTATAGGCAGATACAGATTTGTTTGACATTTTTGGTTGGTGTGCCTCGAGATGTTTTCAATGAAAAACTGTACCTTGGCTTAAAAAAAGGTTGAAAAACACTGGTCTATCTGATGCCTTTCTGCATGTGTGGGCAGCTCCTGGTCCTCAGGACGGATGCATGGACAAAGTCTGCAGCCATCACGAGTTCTGTGGCGTGGACCGCGTCACGGGAGAAACGCGCTGCCTCTGCAGGGCCATCTTCGCCTCGCAGTACCAGCCCTCAAACAGCTTTGGTGAGTTTTCTACGAATTATAAAGGAGGAACGTGAGGGGATATACAGTGGGGGAAATAAGTATTTGAGCCCTTGCTGATTTTGCAGGTTTGCCCACTTACAAAGAATGCTTATTTTTCCTCATCAGATGGTTATCAATTTTTATAAATTCACATGATGTGATTTTCTGGCATTTTCTTTGGGATTCTGTCTTTCACTGTTAGAATGTACATATGATTAAAGTTATAGATCGTTGCATTCTTTGTAAAGAGGAACATGAGGGGATATAGAAGAACCATCACTGAAGTACCAATGAAATTAACTTTAACCTCCATAGCATCTCTGAGCAGCTCTCAGAGTTCCTCTGCTTCTTCTTCTGTGGTTTTCAGTCTTTGTAGCCGAGCGCTTTCAGAGGAATGTGTTTTTTCTTTGTTCAGCCTCTGAACTCTGAGTCATTCAGGCAGGAAAAAGGTGCCTAACTCAAGGGATGAGCCTTCTGTAACATAAAGTTGGTTCAGATCTCCAGACCTGCTCTGACCTCCTAAAAGCTGCCGGGCCAATTCTCCTTTGGACATTTTCTGCTTTTTCTCCCCTTTTTTAGGCTGAAGTTTATTAGTCTGATTTAATTAATGAAAAAAAAAAAAGATTTTAGAGTCAATCATAAGGAGAAAAATTCAACAATAAGAAGTAAAACTGTCAAAAGTGAGGTGAAAATAAACTTGGAAAATGAAGTCGGAAATGGGGATCAGTTAAAGCTGAAATAACGACATTTAACCAGGAAAACAGGCCCCTAACTCAAGGGATGAGCCAGCAGAGCAGCAGTTTAAACTGGAGACTCACAAGGAGGCGAGATCAGAAGATGAAGATGAGTTTAAAGAGTCTTCATCAGCTTTAGTTTCTTTCTGTTTCCCTCAAAGCAGCCAGACCTCCTTTAAAGGTTCTTTAGGGACTCTGATCCAGGATCTCTGAGCTCTTTCAGGGTTTCTGTGCACACACTTTCTGCTTTTTACCTCATTTCTGATCCAGTTTTAATCTTTGTTGAGTCAGAAAAAGGCCCCTAACTCAAGGGCTGAGCCCTCTGTGTCCTCCAGCAGAGCAGTGGCTTAAAGTGGATCTCCAGGTTCTTTGTCACAGAGACTCATCATTTGTTCCACTTCTGTAGTTGATGCGAAAAAGGCCAAAGAAACCTAGTCTGTGTCACGTCTGGGGGAATGTCTGGTGTGTTGTCATGTGTTGATTACCTATTGTGTACACCTGGGGTTCCCCTCCCTCATGTGTTTAAATAGTCCTCGTTTCCCCTTGTCTTGGGCGAGTGCGTTTTCGTCACTTTCGTCTTTTGTCCTTCTGGTTTCGTCGTCTGTCTTTCGTCACCCCCACGTCAGTCCAGGTTTGCGTTTTGCCACAGTCTTGTTATTCTTTAGTTTGTTACTTTGCCATAGT